ATGAAACTGATTGTTGCATTAAGAGCCCAGCTCTGTTGCAGAAATGCATTCCCTGACAGCCCAGAGGGAGTACAAGGCTTTTCTGTGCCTTTTCAGCAGAGATCACAGGGGTCTGGGGGAAAAGCCTGTCACTTCCTGCACGTTTATGTTTGCATAATATATCTGTTAATGAAGTTGCTAAGCACTATGGTAACAAATACAGTCACACTGCTTCAGAGCTCACTTCTACATAAACCAGCATTCTACCAGCAGAAAAATGAATACATCCTGGTTTATCCACCTCTAAAATCCAGTCCCTACATCCACAGTACAACAGCCTTCATCCTTTGATTCTGTAGACGCAACCTGTGCTTGGTCTTGCTGGTTGACCTGGTGATCCATGGGGGCTGGTTGTTCATCTGTCCTGAGAATGAGTGAGAAACATGAATTTACCTCTTTCCCTCAGCTGCAGAACACCATTTGGATATTCCCTATGTGTCCATTCACTGATCTTCAGGAAAGCTATTATGATTTTCACCTTTGAGATTTCTAATTCTGCCACAAGTGCAGTAGGAAATAGCTAATGGGTTTTGAAGTCGCTAGTGTGAGAAACAACACTCACTTTTAAAATTTCAAAGGTTTATTAAACCTTAACAAAATACAACAAAACACTGAATAAGGAAAAATTACAGCACTGGGAGCATGGAACTAAACCACCATGTGCTTACCCACAAAATGGCTGCTCCACCTTTTATACTCCTGGTGTTGCATCAGATAACCCTAACCCCTCCCAAAGTCTGTCAGTCAACTCTTCTTCATTGCCCATTGGAGGAGAGTCCTTTCTTGCAATTTGATTGAAGGTCAGGTGTTGCCATCCGTGCCCCCCCTGCAACAAGCCTGCCCTCCCTGCAAATGCCCTGACCACCAAGGACATCCATGACAACAATAAAATGGGAGGAGAAAGAGGACTATGGGGAGAACATGTCACAATAACATAACTGTACATCAATAAAACTTCTCTTAGCATACTCATAATATTCATCCCTTAATTGTAAGAGCCAACCATTGCATTACTCATCTATAACACTAGGAAAGAAATCAGAGACAGATAGAAATGGGCAGAGAGAATTAGTCCACCCTTTTATTTATTTCCACATACTGAACATATATAGTCTACTTAGCAACAAAAGTAAAACCCAGAAAGAAACCTCTTCTGAAGAGTTTAGGATGAACTTTGAGTTTGTCATTCTGGCTTGATTTGAGGCAATTTAAAGGAGAATGCTCTGGAATTAGTTGTCTCCCTTTATAGGTTCTTATAGGTTCTAACAATCCAGTAAGAAACAGAGATGAGTAGATAACTGAAAAAATAACGGTTTACTAACAAGCAGCAACAGGCAAAAATAACAAAGATTCAAAATTCCTAAATCTCATGGACTGCCCCCAGAACGAAAAGACACCCCAAAATGCCGGCCACACACACACACACACACACACACACACACACACACACACATTCACCAAGATGGTGCTCTGCAGTCAAGCGTGTGGTTTGAAGGACAAAGGGAAGGGTGGTGTCAGTGTTCTCCCCGCCCCCCTGCTCTGCTCCCTGACAACTAGAGCTCTGACTGGTGTTCTCCGGGTCAAGGCGCTAGAACTCGCGGAAGGACTTTGCCTTCCTTGCAGCAAGAGAGACTGTTAAAAATAGGTTAAAAACCGTTGTAAAATAGTTGATAGATCATTAAGCACGTACTGTTGGTTTGGTTATTATAATGTAAAAGGGGTTAAAAGGGTCATTATAAGAAATTGCGGTACTCAGCGTACCATAACACACCTCAGTAAAGTGCACCAAGCGAAACGAGCCAGCCTGGACAGAGCTGTAATGGGCCAATCAAGCGCCTTAAACCTTCATGCCAATGAAGGAAACAAAAAGAAACCAATCCAAAGGGACAAAAACAGGATACAAAGGGGCTTCTAACCCATTGAATTGTGTGCCGCTCCACCTGGGACATGGGGGACATCGCATTCAAGAAGACCCAGCACCGTTGCTGCAGCATCCTCGACAGGAACACTCCTGCTCAGCCCATGGGCCCCCTTGCTTTAGGCCTCTCTTTTTTTTTATAAGAAGTGCTGAAATCACTTTAGTACCGGGAACACTCCTGCTCAGCCCATGGGCCCCCTTGCTTTAGGCCTTTCTTTTTTTTTATAATAAGTGCTGAAATCACTTTAGTACCAGAAGACTGCTCTCGTTTTTAACAGAGACAACAGGACAGACAAGGCAAGGTGGCCGGGCTGGGTTTTCTGTCCTCAGCCAGGACAACAGATGATCTTTTTGCAGCCCTAGCATCCCTGCCTGAGCATCCTCTGATGACATGCACATGTCCATACTTAAGCTTTCCTGATCCTCTGAACTCAATAAAGCTGCTTATCTTCATAGAAGTAAAACTAAATATCTTCATTCCTGTTTGACAAATTTGGTTGAAGCTGATTAAGATGTTCAAAAGTATTATGGGAAGGGATTGACTGGCAGCTCCCTTACAGAGGGTTAATTTCCCTAGTGTTGGAGGTTAGGTTTTCTTTTTTTTCCTTCGGGGAATTTTCCTCCATTTGTTGTCATAGAGATGGTGAATGGACCTCGATTTAAAAGACAAAAGACGTAGCCAGGGCCTTGGCATATCATTAGAATGGTTCTGGGGGAGGGGAAGAAGCAGTGTGATGGTTGGCAGTTTCTTAGCTGGAGGTGGTTCCGTCTTTGCTGGTTGTGGGTTTTGGTGCTGGACTTGTCCTGCCCAGGGGGACTCTCTGCCACTGCTGAGCCTTCCTTGCCATTTCTCCTTGCCTTTGGTGGGCCCCTGCTCTCAGGAGTGACTATTGCACTGGCACTTTTCAGCACCCGCCGTTGTTGAAAGACCCTCACCATCTGCCTGGGCACCTTAGGGGAAAAACGAGCCCCCATCTCCTCTCTCTCAGGAGACAGCACTGTGGCTGCTCACTAGAGCCTTGGCTTCTGGGACGTGTGAGAGCCGGGAGAAAACAGAAACACCCCTTGCCCTCCACCTTCTCGCTCCTCCCTGGGACACTATCAAAGCAAGGGCGGCTCCGACGAGGGGAGAGAGAATGATGCATCTGACTCCAACTTATCAGAAGGCTAATTAATTACTTTATTATGCTATACTATATACATTGCATCTAAACTGGATCTGCCATGCACTCACCCTTGCTCACAACTGCACAGAACTGCACTCGTGACAGTCTGACACATACTCTTCTGGCCCTCACAGGCCAAGGGAACAAAACATCCTCACTCTGGGTAAACAATCTCCATACTGCATTGTACTCTGGCACAACATAGGCACAGCAAGTGATAAGAATTGTGTTCTCCCTCATTCCGAGGTTCAGGGAACGTGAATCTCAGCAATATTCTTGGGAAGAATTATGCCTTGCTTTTCTCTATGAAGATAAGATGGCAGCACACCGCCATGCCCGCGGGGCGCCTCACGCGGAGCCAGCAGCGCCCCCTGCGGCCCTGGGGGAGGCACTGCAGCCTCTGCCTCAGCAGCGGCCGTCCGGGCCTGCTGCCCGCTGTGATCCCAACTCCGGCCAAGGGGGAATTGCTTGATGGGCAGGAAAAGGCTGGTTTGGGGAATTTTTTATTCTGGTTTGTTGTTGTTGCTGTTGTCATTGTTTGTCTGCCTTGTTTTATATTTTTTATATATATAAATGTACGTATATGTGTAGATATAAAAAAAGTGTATTTTAGTAATGATTGTTACTCCTTTCCCCTTATTTTTGCCTATAATTTTGAAGTTATAATAGTAAGGAGGGGATCATATTTTCTCATTCCAGGAAGGTTCCCGCCTTCCTTGGTAGACACTTGTCTTTTAAACCAGTACACCTAGTATTACAGGCTGAAAATGAGTAATACAACCCATAAGTGGTTAAGTTGAACAGGCAGAAGGGCAGAGTCGGTAACTTAAAGGGTTAATGCCTTGGAAGTCCTGAAATTAAGACAAGAGCTTGGAGCAACTTGGAAGGTGGAAGTACCTAGTGGACACTTGGTCTAGTGGAAGGTGTCTCTGCCCATGGAAAGGGGTTGGAATGAGATGAGCTTTAAGGTCCTGGCCAACTCAAACCATTCTGCAGTTCGGTGATTTTTCAAGGAAAGTTCACCCCTTTTGCAGAGGGCTTGTATCAGCACTGGTAGGATAGATCCTGGCTTGCATTGGAGTTTTAAGGATCTAAACACTGTCTTGGTCTATGTCTGAGCACAACCCCCCAAGTTAGCAACCCCTTTAGGGTTTCTCCTTCCCCATTTTTAGGTGAATGGTGAGTTTTAGAGAGAAATTGAAATGTTTTGCTTCAAACCTGGAAGGTTGTTGGTGTTGTATTGGGAAGAACTACAAAACAGAAGTGAAGGAGGCTGTGGATGGGAAGCAGGATGTGTCCAGAAGACACTGATACACACTTTTAACTGTGTTTGGGTTTTTTTCTACCAGAAGTTTCAGCTCTGTCCAAAAGAAATGAAAGATAGTGTTATTTTTTTTCCCCCTGTAATTCAGGAATCCACTATCAGTTTATAAAGGGAAGCCATAGCTCAAAATATAGCTGATAAACAGCATTCCCTGCTCTGCTTGAGTTTACATCTTACTTGGTATTGTGTTAATTAATTATCTGTTAGTCCCAATTATTTATCTGTTAGCATGGAATTAACAAAGCTTTTCTGTGTAATAGGTGCAATGTAGGTGGGATCATACCAATTTCTACTTACAGGCATGGCTAAGGGGTGTCTAGGACTGGCTGACTTTAATAGACTACATTTCATTTGGATTTCTCATAATGTGTCAATAGGTTTTGGATGAGGTAAAAAAATAATTGTTGGGAGACAATTTCTATGTAAATCTGATTGGATGGAGGCAAAATCCTTTCCACATAGACTTGGTTGATCAATGCAGGACTGCATTCCCATGTTATCATTGTTCTCCTGTTGGTTTAATTCCTGAACCCTTTTCCTTTTTGATCTGTAGAAATGAGTTCAGACCCTGGATAGATGTGAAGCCCGTGAAAGCGATAAAAGCAAAGCCCCAGTACAAGCCACCAGATGAGAAAATCACCCATGAAACCAGTTACAGTGCTCAGTTCAAGGGGGAAACCAGTAAGCCTTCTCCAGCTGATAACAAATACCTGGAACGCAGAAGGATACGCACTCTCTACTGTGAACCCTACAAAGAACCTCCAAAGGTGAGAAACATGTCAGAAGGGACCCAGGGCCATCGCTGCTCCTGGTGAGACATGTCCAACACAGTAAGCTGGGCTGTCACTCCCCTTATGTGGTATCCTCATTCCAACCAGCAGGTGCATCTTGGGATCCACCTTGGAGATGGTGGTAAATAAAAAGCTAAACATGTCCCAGCCATGTGTGCTGCCAGCCCAGAAAGCCAACAGAGTCCTGGTTGATCCCACAGCATGGGAGGTCAGGGAGGGGATTCTGCCCCACTGTTCCATTCTGCCCCTCTGCTCTCTGAGACCCCCACCCTCACTGCTGCCTTCAGCTCTGGGTTCCTCAACATGGGAAGGACATGGATCTGTTGGACTGAGTCCAGAAGAAGCCATGGAGATGCTCCAAGAGATGGAGTACCTCTGTTATAGAGACAGGCTGGGAGAGCTGAGGATGTTTAGCCTGCAGAAGAGATCCAGAGTCCCTGTCAGTGCCTAACAGGACTCCAGGAGAGCTGGAGAGGGACTCTGGACGAGGGCCTGGAGGGACAGGACAATGGAAAATGGCTTCACACTGCCAGAGGGCAGGGTTAGAAGGGATATTGGAAAGAAATTCTTGGCTGTGAGGGTGGTACGGCCCTGTGGCTGCCCCGTGCCTGGAAGTGTCCAGTGCCAGGTTTGAAGGAGCTTGGAGCAATCAGGTGTAGTAGAAGATGTTCCAGCCTATGCAGCAGGTAGGGAACGAGATGTTCTTTAAGGACTTTTCCAATTCCAAACAGTTCTATAATTCTATGGGCTCTAGACAGCTTGAGGCACTTTGGGGACAATAGTGCCCTACGTCAAGTGATGGTAGGGCCAAGATGAAAAGGTTTTTCTGTTGTCATTTCCTATGTGATTATCCAGGCAGCTTTTTCTTCCTCCCTCCAAAACTTTAGGAGCCACTCATTACATTTTATGCTGTTCATTCAGAGCATTACACAGATTTTGACAGTGTGCACTTCTGGCTTAGATCAGATCGAGAGCATGTGTTGAGAAGGGCCTGAGCTGAAATGTTTTCCAGCCTTGTTTTCTAGGACCAGCACAGGATCTGCATATTAAAGGAGTCAGTCTGTGAAGTTTTAAATGGAGGACCATAAGTTGTTCCCTAAGTTAATGAGTGCTTAAATCTGTGAGGACTCAGAGAGATTGCAGGGCGAGCATGTAGGAGATGAAGACTTCTATTCTCCCTTAATTTTTGTAACTGTCCTTCCTATTTTGGGGTTGTAGAAACAAGACATTGTGAAATTTTCTCATGTGCCAATTAGCGTTCTGCACCCCAGGTAGCCCAGTGTAATTTTCCTCCATTTTGGGAATCTGTTAAGGACAAACAAACAGAAGAGTTCTTTCCTGTAAGAAAGATGGAGAATTACAGCAGCCTCTTTGTCCTGCACCATTTCTCTGCTTCCAGTCCAGAGAGAGACAATCCTCTGTGGGTTTGCAAAACCCCCCTTGAAGTCAGAGAAAGATGCAGAAATTTATAAAATGACTGATAATATTCTCTTTCCTATTCACCCTGCTCTATCCTGATCTGGATACAATGGGCTCTGCTGGCTCCGGGGGCACTGACTTCAGGGCATCCTCAAAGGAGCTGGCCATTTGCAACTCAGCATAAGCTCAGCTGGTCCCCTGCCTTTGTGGCAGGGCAGAGATGAGCAGATAAGTAACATTTGTGCTGTTTCAGATCTGAATCTTGTTTTCCGCTTGTCCTTGTGTCTCTCCTTCTCTCTTTCTCTCTCTCTCTCTCTCTCTCTCTCTCTTTCTCCATCTCTATGTTGTCCTGTCGCCCTCCATGCAGGTGGAAAAGCCTAGCATAAAGCCTTCCAAACCAAAAAAGACCACAACAAGCCATAAACCCCTGAAAAAGGCCAAAGACAAGCAGATTGCATCTGGCCGGGCTGCCAAGAAAAAGAGCGCCGAGACCTCCAACACTGCAAAGCCAGAAGATAAGGAGAAAAGTAAAGAGATGAACAATAAACTGGCTGAGGCAAAAGAGTAAATGTCACTGCACTTTCTTTCTCATTTTTTTCCTTTTCTTTCTTCCTTCCTTCCTTTTTTCTTTTTTTTTTCCCCTTTGATTAAATAAAGGCCACAAAATTAATTAGAGGCTTCTAATCTGCTTTTTGTTCTGATTGTATTAGAAGCTTTTCTGTTTTATTTCCAAGGAGGATTAGGAAATCCTTGTTTCTGAGGTCAGGTTGTTCTGCTTTGCCTGCACAACACGGCTCTGCACAGAGTGAGTGATGTAAGAGTGCATAAGCAGGGTCCTAAGAGATGAAGGTGATGGATCAACAGTGATTACATCCAACAGCTTGTCCCTTTCCTTGGGCTTGGTTCTTCAGTGCTTTGACAGCATGGAAGTGCCCATTGAGCCATGGAGGGGCTGTGCTCTCATCCCATGAGGCCCTTTTGGGTTGGCCATTGTTGTGTCATCTCCCACTGGTGTCAACAGGTAAAGGGGTTTGGAGTCAGAGAGGATCAGGTTCATTCATGGTGCCATGGATATGCTGTAAATACACCAAAATCTATGGTGTGGCCAAGAAAGATTTCCCCTTTTGACACTGATGGGAATTCTGCTCCAAGAAGCAACAGGAAAGGAGATCCCATGGAACTAAAGGGCCAAATCCTCCCCAGGGGTAGCTGGGAGTACATCTAGCTGCATCAAGGCAACTTCACTCATCAATACCACTTGAAGTCCTTGATTAAAAAAAAAAAAATTGGTGAGGGAAGGTGCAGTGAGCAGTGAAGACTTTCCAATCACATGGCAGGTTAGACTAGGTTATCAGCAGGTTGTTCTTCCCTATTGTTTCCCCTAAGTTATGGGTCTTATTAATTATTCCTGCTTTGTTTCGAATCTTGATCTGCTTTCTTCACTTCTGGGATGCCAATAGGCAGAGCTAGGTTTCAAAAAGTGGTTTAGTTTGCAGGTGTGACCTTCCAAGGGGTAGAAAGAAATGTGTCACCAAGGTTGGCTAGAGCTGTCAGCCCCCGTTGTGTCTATTCTTCCAGCTGTTTATGTTCATGTTGGCTCATGAGCAACTCAAGAGGGCCATAAAAAAGTTTCTGGGATCCCTAGACTCCCTCCAGACAAGATCTCAGGGTTTCAGTCATATTTACAGTGCTCATACACTAGGAAATCCCCAGGACCAGTTTGGAAGCCCTTAACACAGCAGGACCATTTTTGTCAGCGAGTATGAACTGGCCCAACAGACTGGCATTGCATGCCACAGAATCTGGGTCACTGGATCAGTGGGAGAGTTGTGGTCCCAATCCAAATTTATGTGCCTAACTTCTGGATTGGGTCCTAAATGCGTAAGGATTAATTTTTATCCCACCAAACGGAGCTGTTAGACTTTCCCACAGCAGAGTGGCTGCAAGTTGAGGTGCAGGGTTCTTGTTCCTTACATTTGCAGCTCCAAATTTTCTCTCCTAATATGAAGTCCAGCTTGAAACTTCCAGAGGACAACTGGGAAGTGTGAAGACAGAGATGGGAAGTAGAGTGAGGAGGTGGTGTGTTGCTGTAGAGGTGGTGGGATAAGGAAAGTCTTATTGCTAGGGGTATTTTAGAAATGTGAAGTTATCTAGCAGAAAAATGGATGAGTTGGGAGGGTGAGGAGTCCCTTTTTTGGGGTTTCTTCCCATTAGATTAGTCTTTTGGAAACGTAAATGAGTGGTGGGCTACAAGGTTGAGTGAAAGTTTCCAGTGAGGAGGAAAGCTCTGTGATATACAGATAGTGACATTTGCTGGCCTTAGTAATGAATAAATGCCAAGTTCAGTGTATCATGTGATGTGTCCTGTTTGCCTTGCGCTAACAGCCTAAACCTTTGAGTATCAGTAAATGTAGTGTTCTGAATTCAGTGGTGTAATTCCAAGCTTAGCTGTGTTAGACTGTGTGCTATGAGCTAGTCAGGTTGTATATGTGGAAAATATATATTAATATATAGAAATATATATATATATTTAAACCTCTGCTGTTTAGGAGGAAACCAGGGAAAATCCTCCAGGAAGTAAAACTGTGGAAATCTTTGTGAATGTAGTGCTTTTTTTTTTTTTTTTTTTTTTTTTGGCTTTTTTTTTTTTTCTGATGTGCATGCCTCATTGGAGATGCTGACCTGTCCATATTGATCATTGCTTTTCTGAGTGCTCAGAAACCCCTGCAGCACTGCTCAGCTCTGTGTCCAGAGCAGCTCAGCAAAAGGCTTGTGTTGAGCTCGCGGGGAGGCATGCTGCTCACAGCTCTTCCAACCTCTCACATAAGGGACAACTGGCCAGAGAAGAGCAGCTCCCAAGACTTGGTGTGATTCCTTGGCTTTTGAGATGCTTCATGTATCTTCACACTCCTCAGTAATGTCCTTCCTTACAGGATGTAGCATAAGCTGTGAAGATGATATGTCACAGCAGGCAGAACACATCAGGAAGGCACTAAACTGTTCAAATAGCTCAACACACCAATCTTACCTTATTACACCAATAAGGACAGAGCATGCAAAACAATTCTTCCCATTATTTTTCAGCCCTAAGATTTACATTTAAAGATACACCACACTTGCCACCATTTCACCTGGAATTCAATGAGAATTCAGCCCTTGACTTCAAGGTGAACTTAAATTTTGACCAAGGAACATCACTAAGATGCTCAGACCACCTAATCTAAGCATCTCCATGGCTCTGGAGGAACTGCTGATTATCCAGCTTGGGATGGTTTCTTCTTAATGAAGAGCATCTATCACAGTGTTTGAAACATACACAGTGAGTAGTCAAAATATTTGTTTCCATAGTACATGAAGTCTTTTGGTGGCAGAGGGCTTGGAAGTGAAGGTCTCTTCCAACCCAAGCCATTCCAAGAGCTCACTACAAAGCTACATATGAAGTGTTAGCCAGTGGTTGTAATTCCCTCTATAACGAAGGAACTTTCCAAGGGCCATTGAGCTGCCTATTTTTAACACCTGTCTTTGGGTGGGATGAATGGTCCTTGAAAGGTTTTCTTTGCAGAAAGAGCCTGGGAGACTGGTAAGACCTGGATACCTTCCTCTCGCATCAACAAAATAGGAATAGAAATCCTGGCATGTGTTCCATGTGCCCAACATCTGCAGCATGCATCCAAGCACACACACATCCAAGCACATGGGCTGGCCCTGCACTGAATACCAGGAACTACAGCAGAGGCAAGCCTCAGGGTGAAATCCTGCATTGTTATACCTTCCACTATGCCCATCCAACCCACTCAGGTTTATCAGAAAGGAGACCGAATCTCTGCCATTTCAAATTCACTTTGGGCTCTGAGCTTGTCAATTCCACTGGGAAACAGTGCTCTGCTGTTCTGTTTCCAGCTACCACAATGCTGATTCTGTTCCACTGCTGATTTGTAATATGTTTTACTTTTCTTGTAAAAAGAAAAAAAAAAAAAAAAAGAAATGTTTTGCTTTTTACCCTGTGAGAGTTCCTGTGCTATTGCTTGCTTTCACATTTTCACTGTATTGTACTGTTACTCCTTTCTGCAAAATGGTGCTAACTGCTGACTGAGCTCCTGTTTTCTGACTGCTTTGCACACTAATCACTTGCTTCTTCATTTGCAGCACAGCCGGTGCCAAAACCTGGTGCCCATGCATTCCACAAACTCTTGCCTCTTGGAGGCAGATAGGAAGTGTCTAATTAATATTTTGTGGCCTGGGTTTGGTTGCATATCACAAATTGTCTCTTGTAAACATGTTAAGCACACCTCCTTGTGGTGCTTTTTCATTGTTGATATTCTGATGAAAGTCTCACACACACACACACACACACACACACACACACACATTAATGTACCGCCAATTGATTGTGATGTGCTTGTGATCTTTGCTTGCTCAAAGGGTTCTTTTTCCAATGATAAATAAATGCTGAAGACAAATACCTCCTCCTTGATCTTGTTTTCTCAATCAGAAGCACAGTTAAGTGAAAGAAATGTCTGTCCAACAAAAATGAGCCTTCTGTTGCTTAGAGTTGCCATTTTCATGCCTGCTGTAGGGACAGCTGGGCTGGCACAGTCTAACTCCCTTTAGATGGCTGGTAATCTCAGACCAGTCTGGCATGAGCTATAAGTGTTTGCAAATGCAAAGATGGACAGTGAAGTCATGTGGATGGTGCAAGTTTTCTCTTATTTTCCATATAAAATATCTTTGAGTAGAGAGTCCATGCAGTGCCTTGCTCATGTCTACCTTGTCCTGGCTCAGGGAGCAGAGATCAAATCCCATTGAGAGCTGGAGGGAGGGCAGATGATGTGTATTTACCAATGTTAATTACACTTTTTTTTCAACTGCCTGCAGCTTTTATTTTCTCCCTAAACCAAACCCGGAAAACTTGGTCTACTGGAAGGTGTCTCTTCCCCTGGTAGGGGATTTGGAACTAGATGGTCTTTAAGGTCCAATCCAAACTATTCTATGATTCCATGATTTTGAAATCTCTCCTCCACCTCCTCCTCTTGACATCCATGGGCCACCAAACCTTTTCTACCTTCCTGTTGCTAAGGGTGCTATTTTGCATCCCTGCCTTGTTTACAAATCACTTTCTGAATTTATTCCATTTGTGACCACATGCTAGTAACAGTGCTGCTTGCTGATGTCCTCTGTATCACCCTGCCTTCCCTTCTCCCTTCCCCACCTGTTTCATCCATTCATAAATCACACCTATCTATGGGATTTTTGGAGTGTTTCAGCTGGGCTGTAGGTTGCAGGATTTACCATTTCACTCTGTACAGCTGGTAGTGGAGAAAATGCTCCTTTTTAAAGGATTGATTATTATTGGGGCTTATGTGTGACAATCCATGATGGGCAACAAAGTGCTTCTCCCATGAAACAAAGGTACAGGGTCTTTTCCATGCTGCAGTCTTCTTAGGTAATCCATCTCCTCCCTGCAGCTGCCCAAAGTGAATGCTGGAAAGCATCTTTGCTGCCCTGTTGATCTCTGAACTCACTCAACCTTGCAAAGCCCAAATGCAGAAAGGGGCGCAGGATGCATTTCAAGGGAACAGTAGGACCCATCCCTGGTCTTTAACCATCACTGTCTGAACCCACTGGTACTGACTGACTCCTTAATCTTCACCAGATCACTAGTGACTGGCACTGCCCACCTCTTTCCAAGGGCTGTGCTGGAGGGCTTCACTGAAAATGAAGTGCTTTTGTCTTACAAGAGCATTTAGTGTGGAGATGTCGAGGCATTGGCTGGAGGAGAAATAGTCTTATTTGTTAGTGTCTGGGTGAAGTGAAAAATAAATTGAATTTTGAAAGCCAAGTCTCCCTTTCAAATACTTAATAACAGAGTGTTTTAGAGGTCTTTTCCAACCTACATAATTCCGTGATCTGAGAATGATCAGAGGCTTTGCAGAAGTGTCACTTTGACTGCCATGAGCAGTCTCATGAGGAGTTGCCTCCCTGCTTTCAATTTTACTGAGCTGCTTTTAACTACCTTGTGTACACTTGTCTGGGATCCTTGTGCATGGGTGGATGAAGAAGTTTCTCCTTGACACTGTCCATCCTTCCACTCCAGCTTGGGCACAGAACTGAGCTCCCTTTGAAAACCTCCGTCATCATTTTTACATCCCTGACTGGTAAAAGGATGTTTCATCAGCTGACACATCAGCCATTACACAAATGCAGCCTCTTGTGTCATGATATGCTTTTGATTTAGGGTTTATTTAGAGATGTGCAGGAGAGAAAGAGACTTTTTAAGAAGATGCTTCTGACGTAGCTTGTACCTCCCAACATCCCAGGAATAACAACCAACAGTGATGTCAGATCAAGAAGAGGAGCCATACAGGAAGGAGAAATTCCCTAGTATAAACATGATGATACAGATGTGCTCAGCTCTAAGAACAGTATCTTTTCTACATTTGGAAAATATTGTGGTGTTCAGACACGGGCTTCTGCTCTGCCTTGTTCCAACAGTGTCACGGTAAGTTTGATTCAGTTGGGGAATTGGCACCTCACTTCCATTTGCCCTTATTCACAAGAGCTTTCTGGGTCGGGAGCAATTCCACTAATGCCAGTGGGTCTACTTCCAATCTCAGGGGTGTGTGATAAGGGGTAACACAGCTCTGAGTACTTCAGGACTGGTGATCTGTCATGAACTCTGAATTGCTTGTAAAGACTCTTAATTTCTGTTGCAGGGTGCCTTGGGAACAACTCCCTAATCCTGACTGTCATGGTGGAGGATATGTGAGGCAAGAATAAAACAAAATCCTACTAGTGGATTGAAGGCATCTTTATGCTTTCTAAAATGCCAGCTTGCCCTTCAGGGGAAGGAAGTCTACTCCATGGAAGCCAACGACAAGGACCAGCCACCAGAAAAATGATGGGTGGTAGTGGCAGATCTTAGTGATATGTGAGAGCCCTGATTGTTTTCAATGTGAGAGATGGGAAGGGGAAAGCATTTCTGAATCTTCCTTGTTGTCCTCTGCCCACCCCAACCTAGCCTGTGGCATGCAACAACCCCAAGTCCCCAAACAGAGCTGGAGAAACCAGTGTGTCCTCTCTAGCCCTGAAAGAGCTCTGGGGAACTGGGTCACAGCAAAGGGTGCTGAGCACCCTGCATGACACATGGTAGAGGGAATTGCACCACATGATGGGTGGCAGATGGGTCTGTTCTTGTCAGTTAACAACACCTACAAACACTTGATGGTTCCAGTACCAGATGGTCAAGGCAGGGAAATCCTGAGAGCAGCCCCTGGCCATTGGACTGACCTGCTCCTTGGCCTGGTTCAGGATTTAGTACCCAACTGAAGACAAGTTCAGCTGTGGCCATCTTGCTTGGACCCAAGAGATTTGCCCAGAGAAGCTGTGGCTGCCCCATCCCTGGAAGTGTTCAAGGCGAGTGTTGTACTGGAGCTGGAGAAACCTGGTCTAGTGGAAAGTGCCCCTGTCACTAGATGTGCCCCACATCACTAGATGTGTCTGCAAGTGCCTCATGTGTCTGTCCTGGGGGCCAGTCAAGCAGTCGGTCTTGCTTCTGCAGACCTGTCTGTCTTTTAGGATGACACTGCTCATGCTTTTGTCCTCTGGTGCTTTTGTTTCTTTTCTTTTACAGCCACAGGGACAAGCTTTGTTGTCAGTGTAGGAGCCTGGCACATTCAGAGCTGCAGGATCCTGTGTCTCTTGCCATTCTGGTGCATCTGATAAAGAGGTTGGCCTTTCTCCAGCTTCCTGCAGAGATGTCCTGTGCTGCCAGGTGGCTCATCAAAGGCAGCAGCCAAGGAGAACGAAGGAGAAATCTTGTAGCCCAGAGCAGAAGCAGCTGATGGTAAAGGAAGAACATTCCCCTGTAACAGGAAGCAGTGGGCAGAGATGTGTCAGTGGAAATCCAAGCAGATATATCTCTCAGGGGAATCAGCAAAACCTGGCTTAGCATGTTTCAGAGATGGATGCCCAGGAGGCTTCTTGTGGCTGAAAAGGTGCCCTGGACATCTGCTTCCTTCATCCCAGGCGAGGACTAGACCTGTCCGTGGTTCCTTCTACCTGTGAGTACATCAAGGACCCAGTTGTCACTCAGTCTCAGATGGCTCCTTGCTCCTCCTTGTCCTAATTTATTGCCTCAAAGTACTAGTTTGGTCGGTGCTGGCTGAGCTGTTGGTGTACATGGAGATGGTTCTTCTTCCCAGGTGCTCCTTATAAACATGGAAAGTTGCAGGAGCAGCTCGGTTCCTCTACCCTTACAGTGACCCTCACTGCCTGTGGTGTGACACCAGCCTGCCAGAAAGCAAAGGAGCCTCCTGGTCATGCTGAGTGAGCTCAGAGCATGGTCACCAGTCTGGTTTCATGGGCCATCTGCAGGAGTTAGGTCTGAGGACCCAAAGAGAGGCAAAGCTGAAGCAGTTTGGTGGACATGGATGGGAGAGGGATCAAGCAGTGCTCAGTCCCCTGGGCTTCTTTCAGTGCCTGCTCCTGTCCTGTCCTGCCTGCAAGAGCAGACAGAAGAGTTTAAATGTGTGGGGACCTCAAATCCTCAGTGAGAAGCCTGGAAATGCCATCTAGAACAAGCAAGACTTGCAGCTGGGTTGTGCCTGACATCTCTGGGCTGAAGGAATTTTGGTGTAGGTGGTGGAAAACACCTACAATGTAGGTGCATTGGGAAAGAGGATCAATCCCTTGATGTAAGTGATATCCTGCATCCTTTCCTATGTGCCGCCATGAGTTAGTTCCACCTGCCTTGCTGCCACAGTGCTGCTGCCTCCTCCTCCAAGCTGTAGATTCCACCAGTAAAAAAGCACTGAAAAAAATCTCAGCTGCAGTTTTAGGGTCTGACCAGTATTTAGGACATGATTCGTCCATGCTGCTCAGGTCCTCATCTCACTTGAAGGTATGCAGAACTCTTCTAACACCTACATTTCTGCTAGCAGAGCTCTGTGAAAGCTTGCCTATCTGCTGCTTTGGTTTGAACTCTGAAGGGCTGAGTTCCTTGTTGCTCATCCCACACCTACATCAGGCCTGATTTCACAACCAGGCACTTTCTTCTTCAGCCCTTGCTGGCCCCATACAGGTGCACGCTTCCAGGTCTCACACCTTTGCAAGGACAGCAACCCCTCTGCTGGCTGAGGTATAGAACAAGGCTCAAATTCTGCACTTCCCTGATACAATTAACAGTGTTATATCTACTGCTTGATGTGCTTTTTTCCAAAGAATGCAACTGATACCAATTATAAAGTACCATTTTTCAGTACAAAAAAGTTTGCATTTTTGTTGCTGTTTTGCAAAGACAACAAGCTTCAGTGCACAAAGGGCAACATAGCATTCAGAAGACAGAAGTGACTTGTCATAACCTACTCATAATCTAACTGGGAATTGCATTTGCCCAGAAATCAATGAGTTTCTATCTTTTGAGGAACGTGAACCTGCCAGTGCCCTCCTGGATAAGGGCACTAACCAAAAGGTGGTTCTGCCACAGCAAGAGCTGTCTCCTCATCTGAATTCTCTGGGAAAGAAAGGACAGACTTCTCATGGTTTTTTTCTTTAAAACGTTCCTTCAGCACCAAAGTTCTGTGCCTGAGGCTGTTTGCTGTTTCTGAGCCACTGATTCAGGTAGAGGAGTCCTGCTGCTTCTAGTTCTCTTAAAGGCAACTTTTAATTTTCTGTGTGCCTATACAGGCTCATAACAGCTCCCAAATAGCTAAACTGCTTTAAATAAAACTCATTTGGCAGAAGACAATACAAGTCATCAGCTCATTTTGATATGAGGCCACCAAAACATCAAGAAGCGAATTCATAGAGGAACAGAGATGAGATGTGAGCAGGTCCTCCACATCTCTGAGGAACAGGATAATGTTGCTGGAGCTGTCAGAGGCAAGTTTAGACCCCAAGTCACAAAATCCCAGTTCTGTGTGGTTATACCAGGACCAACAAAGAGGAGATGGTGCTATGTGAGCTCATGGTGGCCCATTAACACCCTTAGTGATTTCCAGACACCTTGTGCTGACTCTGGGAAACAAACCCCTGCTGAATTTCATACTCTTTCCACACCTCTCTCAGGCATTATGAGGAGAAATCTGTCACCTCCAATTCATCTCTTCTACATTTCTCACCTTCTCACACGACTATTTGCCATCAGCAGCCCTCATGAGGGCAAAGATCTTCAAACTCTTTCCTTGCTTGGCTTAAACAAAGATCATTTATAAATGTTACTGCATGTGTGTTGGGGATTGTTATGTTTCAGCATCAGCTTTCCTTTCAACTCTCCTATTTGCACACTGCCAGCTCACTCTTCCCAAGGCTGGTGCCTAGAGCTAGACCTCGCTGTGCAGCCCTGCAGGGAACAGCCATGGTTGTTCTCTGCTGTGCATGCTCTGTTGTTTCTGAATACCAGCTCTGGGGGGAAATAACGTAATTACCTACCACTCACACTCCCTCCAGTTTAAAACAGGTTTGAATGGACAATCACACAATTGTCTACATTCATGCAAACAAAGGTGAAGCCAGGGGGTGAGATGGGACACAGTCTCTTTGTCCTCCTCAGGCCTGAAATCCATGGCTGAAGGATGCACACAGTCATAGGAAAAGAGCCAGTAGATTAAAAGGAAGAACACACACTGCAGGCAGCAGCTTTCTGACTGTCTCAACAGGGAAGGACCACCCTAGTGCTGCTGAGATGAAGAAATTACCCTCATGATTCTAACAAGGGCTCAGAAAAATGTTGGTGGATTGAAAACAGTTCATGTTGCTTCAGGGAGAGATGATTTTTTACTTTCAAAGCTTTCCTCTGAAATGCAGGGTGGCAGCAAGAGCAGGGTTGGATACCAAGGAAGAAGTGGGATGGCTCTGGTTGAACCCGGATCAGGTTGAACCTGGCTCATCATGTACATGCTGGCACAGGAGAACCTGAGATCATGCCCCATGGTTCCTGCACCTCCCTCACTAAATGAGGTGTGAAGATGTGCTTGGTATCTGCAGTAGTTACTGATGGGCTTCAGACTGCAAGTGCAGGTCCTGCTGGGCACCATTTCCTCTGGAAAGGATGTGCAGGCATCTCCAGCCTCCTCCAGAGACCAGCAGTGGGTCCTGTCCTAGCAGATGCCTGTGCATCAGCAGTAAGGACTGGTCTACCCTGACAACAGGGCATCTTTCCAAAGAGAAGCTGCTCTGCATTTTCCTTTGATTTATGGTGCTGGGCTCTCCTCATTCACATAGGAACTACTGCGCTGAAAGAACTCAGCAGATTTCCTACCAGCCTCTGCCAACAGCTTCTGGCAGCAAATGTTTCTCTGTAGTAAGCAAAAAGGGCAAGGTGAGGGTGAGTATTTGAGAGAGACATGTCCTGCCAGGGATCTTCACATGGTCCTGCCCCACGAGCCTCCCACACAGAAATGTTTTTTCTCATGTCTGGGTTGGGTTGATTTCACAGACCAAGAAAATGGTAACCAGACACTCCATGGTGTCAGCCCCTCCTTCCCTCCTCTAACCTGGAACCATTCCCTGCACAAAAAATGATGCAAGAGTGGGGGACAAATTGGGATCTCCGCAGTCCCTTGATGCAACCACCATATAAAGCTGCCCATTTTAAATCTTAGCAGGTTTCTCATGCATCATCAACTGCTTTCTCATGCATCATGAACAACTTTCTACCTTTTTACACCCTCACGGACCCATTCCCACCCATCCTCATCCCCAGAGATCCTCCTCCTCTTTCCTAATGAAGACTGATTCCCTTGTTTTGTACAGGTCTTTCCATTCCCATCCCTCCCTCTGTACTTTCTCAAGACCCAGCCTTCCTTCCAACACATGTCCAGAGCTTCTACTGGCAGCACCTACCCTAACTCCAGGGTGCCTCTGTTCTTTTGTGCTGCCATCCAAGACTATCCAGGTACAAAGGTGACCCTGCCAGTCATCCAGTACCTTGGTGCCACCACCACCTACTGGTGTCTCCTGGGGGTATCAAAGAAAAAAGGGGTGCTCTCAAACTGGGGCTGGTATATGTTAGCTGGACTTACTTTCCTTTGGTAGTTTTAACAGGTTCCAGGTGCTTCCTGAGTGGCACAAGTGCTTGGCTCCACTGTGAGAGGGCTTTTACCACCCATCATGAGGGAAACAAACTGCCTCTTGTTAAACAATTTCACAGCAAGGTGTTTGTTCAATGCATGTTATAATCAATTGGAAAGTATTTTTTGTAGCTGATGGTGGACATGATCCTGGTCACATTTAAACCAAGGGCTGGTCAAAAAGTCCAAGCCCTCACATGTTTTGTGGACATCTATCAGTTTTGGACCAGTTCCTACCAGCCAGCCTGAGGACATACCAAATGTGTGGTTCTTGGGGAACACTCTGCAGAGCCATTGGTCATGGGGCAAAGTCCACCTCAGGGGTGGCATTTTGC